GTGTGTTTCCTGGACGGGGCCGCCTGTGGAGCTGGTTGACAGTTGCCTTTTGTATCTATGCTTCTTTTTCTATGTCTGCTTCTGTCTTCTTGAACCCCAGTTGGTCTCAGCAGACGGCCGATCAGTATGTGGAGATAACATGTGTTGTAAATTGGCGCTATAGGAATAAACTGACTTAAATGGAATGATTAGGCCCTTTTAAATGCACAGACTTTAAAATATCACTATGTTCATTTTAATGTGAAAGGTCAGGGAGGCCTTCTTTTCTTTGCTTGATTGACAGACAGGGCATTTCTCTTTTTTTCTAAATTTTTAAATGATTCACCGGCAAAAAGTGCCATCTTTTTTTTATAAGTATTAAAAATTCTTTATTGAATTTAAATTGAATCACTTTTCAGGTTTTGCTAAATATCAGATAAAGATTAGGAATTTCTGCTGTTATTTTCAATTAGTACAATTTGGTAACACCACAAAAATATTGTAAATATTCCTATTCAATTACTTTAAAAAGTAACTCTACATAACGACACCACCTTATTGAGACTCCTGTAATTTTAATAGCTTTTAATTTCATTGAGCCAACTCAAATTATTATTATTATTATTATTATTATTATTATTATTATTATTATTATTATTATTATTATTATTATTATTACTATCTAGGGATGTCCTGATCTCGAGATCGGATCTGCCCGATCTTTTCCTATTTTCCCACGATCGGATTACATTGCCTGACTAGTCGCGCCGATCTTTACAGCAACTGTCGTAAAGTACCCGCTAGTTACAGTTGACGGTAGTTGTGCAATACAAACCTCCGCAGCGTTTGCAAAGCAAGCATGTTAGAAGTGTGGAAGTATTTTACTGTCTTAAAGTTACTTGCAATGTCTGCAACACGACAATTTCAAGAGGAGGTAGCAGCAGAGCTACGTTTAACAAAACATGACAAGGTGTATGAAGAGTTTTGTAAAGCTGTAGAAGGAAAGGTTACTAAAGCAAAGCAACAAATGCTGGACGTTATGAGGAGAGACAAATACTCCAATGAAAATAATAGAGCAAAAAAGATCACAGAAATGTTGGTCGAATTTATTGCTCTTGACAACTTGACTGAATTAAGACATGTGAGTGAGGCATAACTTGAAAGAGCATTGTGTTTATTATAACTAAGTATTCAGGTTTGGTTGCTTAGTTCTTTTTAGGGCTGCGTACGTGTTTGTTCATGACTGAATGGTCTTGTTGATCATGTTTCAGTGCTCATGCTACAATGCTATTATGTTTACTTACTTTTTAAGTTGGATTGAGATGTTTCAAATCATTTACTGAATTGTGACTATTTGTCAATCTGTTTACGCCACATTTAAGATGAGCAATGGCATTTTAAATTTGCTCAGTGGTTAGTGCACTTTATTTTTATTGACTGTATGGCAGCCTATATTAATCACTTATAAGCTAAAAGTGGATCTTGGATAGCACTTTCTATTTGATAATACTGGACCAAGTAGGCTAAGTGTTTTTCCTTTTACTTTTGTCTAAAATATAAAATTGAAGCTGAACTTTAATCTTGGGTAAGATTTTGATTTCTTGGGATTTACAATAATAATAATAATGATTTTTTTTTTTTTTTTTTTTACCAGATATTAGTCTATTAAAAAGTTGACCTACTTGATCAAAATATATTTGAGTTTTATCTGTTTCACTACTAAAGAGAAAATATCGGATCGGGACTCGAAATCGGATCGGATTTGAGGTTAAAAGATCGGATAAGGATCGGAGGCCTAAAATGCTGATCCCTAATTATTATTGTTAAATATTATTAATTCAATT